GACCGGCGTTTTCCGGGCCAGGGTCTTGGCAGGAGCCTTGCCCTCTGCCTTGCTCTCCTTCGCATCCTTCCGCAGCGTCTCAGCCTTCACCTCTTTCTTCACCACCTTCGCCTCCTTCTTGGCCTCCCCCTTCGCCTCGGGCCCCTCGTCCTTCTTTGGCAGCTTCTTCTCCTCTTTCCGGGGAACGGGCTCCTTCTTGGGCGCCACTTTCTCCTTGCTCGGCTTCGGCTTTGCGTCCACCTTCAGCTTCTCCATCGAAGACTCCAGCTTGGCCCGAGCATCCTTGGCTTTCTCCTCTTCTGATCCCGCTCGGGCCGTCTCCCCCAGGGATTTTGGCTTCTCCTTGGTCCCTGCCTTCACCTCCTTTCTCTCCACCTTTGATGGAGCCTTCTCCTTCGGCGCCGGTGCCCCAGCGTCCACCAAGCTGAGCTTGGAAGCCGATTTCAGGCTCTCCTTGCTCTCCGCCCTCCTCTGCTTAAGCAGCTTCTCAGGTTGGGGCACTGACGGTCCCTTCAAGTCATTCTTGGTGACCACGGGGTGCTTGAGGAACTCCAGGTGCTTCACCTTCTCCAACCCCTCCAGGATGCGGCCCTGGGGGGTGCAACCGGGGAAGAGGACCCGGATGATCTTCTCGGAGGGGCTGACGGGGTGCCAGACGAGCAGGGCGCAGACGGAGGTCAGGCACTGCAGGGGCAAGTCCTGCTCCTTGGGGTAGCTGTTGCCCGACCATTGCTGCAGGAGAAACTCCAGCTCCTTGGTGCCCTTCACGGGGTTCAGGATATACATGTCCAACCGGCCCACTCCCATCTTCTGGAAGAGGACGGTGGGCTCTGCGCGGGGTCCACTGTCCCGGGCCAGCGGGTTGGGACGGATACCCAGCTTCTCCAGGTAGTGCAGGGTCAGGGCAGCCTCATCGCAGCTCTTCAGCACCCGCGAGTTACCCTCGATGTCCTTCAGCTTCTCGGAGGCGTTGAGGAAGACGACACCCAGCTCCGGAGAGATGAGGTTCTTCGCCCAGTCCCCGTTGCCCTGCGACGGATCCTCCTCCAGCTCGGCCAGCTTCCTCTGCAGCAGGCTGTTAACGCCGGGCAGGCTGTCCGTGCCCGCGTGCGTCACCAGGATGGAGTCGATGCGGTCCAGGTGCCGGACCAGCTTCCAGAAGGATGACTTAGGGTTGGAGCCTCCGTTCACCAGGACGTTGAAGCCATTGACGGCAAAGAAAGCCGAGTCCCCTCTCCCACCCGGGAAGATATAGCAGCAGGGCTTGGAGAGCTTGAGGAAGCCGACCATGGTGGGGGGCTCGAGGAGGTCAAAGGGGGACTGGGGCTCCAGCGACTCCGAGAGGTACTCCATGAACTCCTCCAGCCCCTCCATCTCTGGCAGGATGCAGCCCGGGTTGTAGCGCAGCTCAATGAAGTCCTGGAGGTTGTGATGGTCCAAGCCCGAGTCCCTCCACTCCCCAAAGTCGGGGCAGCTGATGGTCAGCCTGGCCTTGACCGAGGGGTCTGCGGAGCTCAGGATCTCCCCTACCTGTGAGGGGATGAGGACAGCCAGAGCTTCAGGCGGGATGGGGCACCCAGGGCCAGGGATGGGGCACCCAGGGGGTGCCCTGCCTCAGCCCCCCCTCCCTCGGGAGGCACAGGGCACCCCTTCCCTGGGGGCTCATACCCTTCCCGCTCCCCATACCCGCTGCTGGCACAATGCCCGAGGAGGGGGGCCGGTCCCCCATTTGCACCCACCCCCA